TGTATCTTAATAATATGCAAAACATAAAAGAAAAATTGTTAGAAAAAAGACATGTTTCAAAATTGGAGGGTAGCCCCGGACACATAATTTAACCATGATTTTACCTCTTTTTTTACCAGTGTGACACAAATGCTAACAAATTGCTAACAAATTAAACTCTATAGAGTTTAATTTGTAATTAAATTCTCCATAATCTATGTACTTATTGCAGTAATTAGTTCTTTTAGTTTAATTAGCATAAACTTCAACGATATGTCAGTTGTTATAAGGTTTGCATTTTTAGCGAACCATTAATATTGATATCAAAAAGCACATTTTTATGCAATTTTTTAATTTATGAAACCTTTCAAGCATTGATACAAAGCTGGTCCATCTTTTTACAAACTTTTACTAAATGAATATTTTTTCTAAAACTATTTTAACGTATTTTTGAAGACAGCTGTCATTTTTAACTGGTAATCTTTTAAAAACCATCACAATTTTATCTGAAATTATTGGTCTAATTACTTTGTTTATATTTTGTTATATAACATTTTGTTTTCCATTAATTGATTCTCGCCTTTAAATCAACTATCGTTTTCATCATGATCATCATCTTATTCGCAGCTTTTGCTAAATTTAGATTCATTTTCCAAAATTTGCATGGCATCAACATCTTCTATTAATAGTCTCAGCGTACGGATTGATGCTGAAATAATACATAAAAATGAAGTGCTAATTAAATACCACGAGCAAAACATAGATTTTGATTAACCTGTAATAGTTTTCAAATATTTTTCACGACGCTGATGTCAGCCGTCATCAAATACACAATAGGGTAAGGCGGGGTGAATTTGTCACGGAGCGAATTCGTCACTTATGCGACTTAACTTTAATACAATAACGCATAAAAACTAAAAACTCTGTTTACTATGTCTTTTCAAAACTTTTTAAACTGATATTTGTATAAAATTATTAAATAAAGGTTTTATATATATTTTTTTGATTATTCTTTAAATATTTCGAGTAAACATTGACGTTAAAAAAATATTTTTTTGCTTAAATGCCTATTGTCAAAAAATAATCAAAATATGTAATGTTTTGACCACAAAATATATTTTTTTCGATAGATCAATGTCAGTATTTTTAAAATAACAATTTAAGTTGCAATGTTTTTTCTTTTGGAATCATGATTGTTAGCACATGCTCAAAGAAGAGATAATACCTAAAATAAATTAGGTTCTTTGATCACGCAAATTTTTAAACCACGAAGCGTCGTTTGAAAGAAAATCAAATTGTGCTCAAAATGTACTTTAAAGCTTTAGATTTTATCTATAAGAGATAGGCTTTTCAGAATATATTAGTTCACAGTTACCTATTGAAGTTTGAATTATAAACGTAAAGAAGACTTATTTTTCAGCTGATTCTGATCACCCAAGTTCATCTAGTGGTTTTAATCTAAAAAATAACAGTGATAGAGACTTTTGTTGTGCTTGTGCAGCTGGGGAGAAGCAAACAAAGATTGGCTTGAATGTTTAAGTTGCAGTCAGTGGGCATGTGAAGGATGTTTTGGAGTTGATATGAATATGCAAATTGTGTGCAACGGACATAAAAACGTCATGTAAATTCTTATTATATATAATTTTTGTTATTGCTTTAACGTGCTATTTTATGCGCTAGCTCGGTTCGACGGTTTTTATCAATGCAGAATTATTTGGTATTTTCTAGTAAAAGTTTCACAATTGAAGTCCTTTTAGATGTTTTAGAAATCGAGAAACTAAATTTCAGTAGTTCTATCTTGTCGTATTCTGAAGGCTGCTTCAGTAATTTTATTTGTAGCTATCTGTAGGCTATCAGTAGTTCTATCTACACCATTTAGGGGTTTATTATTCCAGATTAATGAAATCATCTTACTATTACCTCAAAAATAATGCTTTATATCAAAGTTTTTTTTTTCTCCAAGGTAAGCTGTCTTTACCACTAGTAAGGAATTTCGTCTATCGCCCAAGTGACGTGTTTTTCAATTAGTTTAGTTGTACTGACAAATTCGCCCCGTAATTTACGAATTCGCCCCTCATGACTTGGTGATGAAAAAATCAATTATACGCAAGAGCAGTTTTTTAATTTATTTTGATTCAATACATTAACAGAGTAAAGACTCTAATTAATAAAAAACGCTTTTAAACTAGAAAAGTTTACTTATTTATATGCAAATTCATTTTGTTAAAGTAAAACATGACGAGTTCGCCCTTATCCTACTAATTTCAAGTTTTAGACCAAACGTGGAGAGTTTTTCTTAAAGTTAAATCAAACACGTTTTATATATATTTTTTAATATTTTCATGTGGCATTGTTTTAAACAGTCCTTACTAAACCCAGATTTCAAATATTATGTCTATCATGTTTATATTTAAACTTATATTCATAAAATGAAATTGAAAACTTAGTTTTACTGTCTAATTTTGTCGCTATAAATGTTGCTTTTTTGGCCAGAGCCGGCATTGAACAACGGACCTCTTGGTTCTGAGCCAGAACTCTAACTACTGCTCTTTTCAAAATTGACATTATTAAGGCTTGGCTGTAAAGTAACACCTAAATAAAAACAATAAATAAACGGTTTATTGGAATTACTCATTTTTTATAATATTTGCCTTTCATTTAAGGGGGAACCCATAAAGTACGTACGCAGTACGTCCACTAATTTTGGATCATACTCCCCCATTTGTTTTTGGCTTGCAGTGTTGGTTATAAATTTGGCATAGAACAGGTATCTCACCATTAAATAAAAAAAATATGGAAAAAAGAATAACAGGTATTAACTTTCTCAATCAATCACCTGAACGTGAAAACACCAAGATCGGTTATGCAAGAAGCTTTAAGGTCAATCATATATCCTAATGTATCTGCAGAAACAGCAGCAATAATAGAACAACAAAAACAAAATAGAAAGAGAGTACAAACAAAATGTGGAGAACTCCTTACAAATGAGAAAGTCAAACGACGGTTACTTGACGAACAAAAAATTAGAGAGGAAAAAAACCAAGTTAAAAAAATGTACAAAAAAAACTAGAAGTGCCCAAAATAGCACGAATGTTACCAGAAAAGTTCAGTGATCAAAAAAATAGTTATATTTTATAAAGCACATTATTAAAACATTATTATTTCTGTTTTTAATCATCTTTTTTTATTTTTATTTCTCTGAGTTTTTAATTTTTATTGATGTGCTGTGCATGTATGCACTTTCTTTTTAAATAAAAATATCTTAAGACTACTTTTTAGATTAAAACCTTGTATATATATACTATAATAAAAGTGTGGACATATAGAATGTCAAAATTTTCATAAAAAGCAGAATTTTAAACCGGAACTGGCAACATTTTATGTAGACCACATTACCCCACAATGCGGGGTAATGTGGGTCTATATAGGCATCTTCAAATAAAGGCTCCCCAGATCTATTAATAGTATTTTTAGTAACATTTTTTTGTTAAATTTGTTTAACAGGATGCCCAATCATAATTTTGACACATCTTTTGTCAGAAAGCCGATACCTAAGCATTGCTTTTTTTTTAACTCAAAGTCAGAAATATGTAAAAATCAGATTACCCCCACACTACCCTATTGAAGTAATAGTTTTCAGCGATGTTGTATTCAAGTTGCTAAAGTTCAAGTAAAGATTACTTGTTGCAACTGCAAATTCTAGATTTGTTCTGATGTAGGTTTTGTTAAGGTTGCTCAAAAGTCATTGTTTCCAGAAACAAAAATATTTTATAAGGGCTCTGACACTTTTCTTTGCTTTGTAAGCGAATTAGATCGCTTGTGAGTTTAACCTCATATTGCTTTTTAATTTGACAACTAAATATCTGAATTTTTGCTGGATAAAATTTTAAGATCTTTTTTGTCTACAGCAATCATAGTGTTTGTTTAAAGTTGTTATGATTAATATGCATTATCTTGTATTTTGTTGATTAATATGCATTATCTTGTATTTTGTTGATTAATATGCATTATCTTGTATTTTGAAGAGCTTAGTCTTATGCTCCACCTCAACGTTTACTTTGTCTTGATTTTTTGTTACTTTTGTCACAGGCTGATTTGGGATAAATTTAGGCTATAAGTTATGTGTGATAAGCATTCTTGCCGTAGATTTTAGACTTTCAATTAGGTTTTATAAATAATAGATAATAATTTTATAAATAATAGGTAAATTTGGACCGAGAACTTAGCTTTGAGACTCCGATTTGTAGGTTGTCAATTAAATATTTAGATTAATAAGGATGTTTTTGACCTCTTTTTGATGAGTTGCTGCAAAAGTGGATTTATAATTTTTTTTAATTTTCGATTAGAGGTTTGAATAAACTGGTGGTTATTGTACTTTCTTCAAAGTTTTAAAATAAACTTAGAAAAATTTTTTAAACAAGTTCAGCACTAATCGTTATTAAAATATTTTAATTAATTGGTTTGCATTTATTTATTTGTCTTTACAAAATTAAGTTATTGGATATAAAAACTGTTTTTTGGGGACTTAGTTTTATATTATTTATTGTATATATTTAAGAGGGGGGAGGGATATAATATATTTTAGGGTTTACTGTTCCCAGACTCTAATCATCTCAAATTTTTGCAAACCATCTTTTTTGACATAAATATAAACATATAAATGTTTAAAGTTTGCTTTATGTCTGGAAGTTAGCTATCTCAAAGACCAAAAAATGTTAGATCCGCTCCTGAATGTATGTGTCTAACGCGTCGTACAACGTATGTGAAGCTTAAAATTTAGATATTTTTATGGCGAGTTTTTAAAACAGGTTTTAAACCAACGAGTTATGCTTTCAACACACACAGCCTTAAAAAGTAGCTCAAGCCTCAAAAAATCCAAAACAAGAATTAACGTTTTAATGATATTGAAAAATAAGTAAAATTTTCTAATTACTGGCATATATAAATTTTAATAAAATTTCTCCTTTTAAATAGATTTTATAATTACAAATAGAATACAAATGCATTTTTTGATTTTATAGATATTTTATCATTGTTTTCGCAGTTAGTTGTTACTTAATTCAAAATAGTTGTTGTGATATCGCGAGTAAGTGTAATTTTTACTATAACCATGTTTATGTTGCCATGTGATAATCATGTGATAATTAAAAAATTTTCTTTCAAACGAGTGTATTAAAAGTAATAATAATATAAGTTATGAAACGTAATAAATTTTGTTAAATAAAAAGAATAACACATAAAAAATTTTAAACAAAGTAAACTTTTTGTTATTATTGAACAAATAGTATTGATAATCACTAAGAAATTCCAAAAAAGTAGTTAAAATTCTTGCGTTGTGTTGAAATATGAACGCTTGGCATCTCATAAAACTTATTTCATTATTTAGATCAAATTTTAATATAATCTTGTTTCAAATAGGGTCTGAAAATTTTTCTTAAATAAGTAAGCCTTCGAAATAATGAATAAAATTTATTTCAAATTAATGGGTTGACCTAAATAGTTTATGATTGCAACGTCGCTTTTATCGCACTTGCCTAACTTTATCTTTATGTGACACTTTACATAAAGATATTAGTTAGATTTATTAATCAATTATATTAATTTGCTTTAGTTATATAATATAACTTATTTATTATAAATATTATAATTTATAAAAAATTTATAACGCTATTTAATAAAAAAATTAATGAACATTTTGAAATGATTTTAAAGCCATGTTTAAAAAACCGTCAAGATTTATTTTAGTTTGCTCTAACGATTGTATAAACATATTAAAAATAGTGAAAAAACATTTTCTTTTATTACCTTCTTCGAGCGCCGAGGAATGTTTGACTTGGTTTATTGTCTAGAAAATCCGTTTCCATAGGAACCTGCAGAAGGGTTTCCTGTAACATTGTCGATCGATTTATGGGTATATTCAGCATCAATGAGAGATAATTTTTCTATATTATATATATATATATATATATATATATATATATATATATATATATATATATATATATATATATTTATATATATATATATATATATATATATATATGTATATATATATATATGTGTATATATTTATATATATATATATATATATATATATATATATATATATATATATATATATATATATATATATATATATATATATATATATATATATATATATATATATATATATATATATATATATATATATATATATATATATATATATATATATATATATATATATATATATATATATATACATACATACATATATAATAACTATATACATATATAAATATACACATTTACTCAACTTTACACCTTTTTTAAATGTATATCATTTATATATTATGCACAATTTGTATACGAGATATATAATTTATAAGTAATAGTATAATTTATCTATAATGAATATAAATCATATTAAGAATTATAAATCAATTATAGATACCTCATTGCTAGATACTTCTCTTGAATAGAATTCGTTTGCTTTGTAGGTCAAGTTTTTTGTATTATAATACCATATTACAGAGCTATCTTCAATTGCTGGATATGTGAAAAATCTGTCACGACTTTTAAATATGAAATTGTTTTTACTAAAGCTTTTTTGATCTGAAATTATTTCGTATTTCAACTTAATTGGTGTACTACTCGTTTCGTTATAAATTTCATCGACTGTTTGGAGGAGTTGAGCTTTTGCAACGTTCTATTTAATAAATTATACAAATTGATCAATAAAACATCAAATTTTTCTTGCTTATTGTTGTGCATATATACGAAACTATGAGTATAAATAAATTACTTAAAAACCCTCGGAAATTCATAGAATCAACTTAAGTTCTGAATATAAAATTTTATGAACAGTCAATATATAACTCTCCGTTTAACTGATGCGCTTTAAGAATTTAATTTTTTATCATTCAATATATTTTATTTTGTGATAAAGTTTATTATATATTCTAAGTAAGAAATCTAAAACTTACACAGTTTGAATATGTAAATCAAAGCTGAACAGTATTTAAAGCTTGAAATGCTCTCTCGCACGTACGCATATATGTCAAGCCGTTAAACCGTTTGAAGATGTACGAATAATCAATGATTATTTATAGTTTAAATAAATTTTTTAACTTCATAATGTTGGCATTTATATCTTTCAGTAAATTTATATACACAAACACTAAAACTAGATTTTTTTAAAAAAGATAAACGAAACGTTGTAAAGAATTTATTCGTTAATGAAAATGATTAATGCTAGCTTGTGAAAAATCTGAAAAACTCCGTTGAACGTAGATATAACTATTTTTAAATATATTATGAGAGATCAATTCAATTCTTTTCAAAACCAAAAAAATTAACAGTGCTTTACCTTATTTATTTCTTTACCCTGAATGATCTCAATATATTGCTTTTAGACTTAAACAACTGAGCAAATACTTATATATTCTAAGCAATAAGTTTTTGTATAAAAAATACCTTGGCTTGTTAATGAAAAATTTTATGTATGAATAAGCTCGCGACTTTTATATTGCCATTTAGAAGTTTATTTAAAATAAAGTAACTTTGAGTGGGTATTGTCGCAAAAATGACACATGAATTCTTACTTTTTAAGCTTGTTTATGTTATTAAGAGAAAAGATACAAGCCTAAATTTTTTTTGTAATTGTATTTAGGTATTTATATTTTGAAAAAAAATATTAGCATAGCTGGTAAAATAAAGGTACTTGCAGCTTTGTAGTAGATTTTAAATTTTGATAAAAAAATTAAAAAAAAAGTGTTTTAACTTTTAAAAAATCGTTTAACGTATAATTTTTTTTTTATTAATATGAAAACAACTATTCCAGCAACGGCTCTAAAAAGCAGCATCCAAAAACTCTATATCAATAAACAGCTAAGGATACAACAGTTTTCAAAATAGTTGTAACACATGTTTCTTAGTATTGACGCTGTTATTTTATTCTAATATTTTTGATAAGTGTTTATTGGTTTGTTTCAATTGTTTGTTATTTTTGTTTCAATATAATGTCAAACAAAAATGAAGTTTTTTAAAATAGATTTTGAAATAGTATTTAACTTACATTGTCCAACGTTTTCATTACACGCTCATTTTCCAATTTGCCAAAAACGTTGTCGTCAAAACTTTCATCCAAATAGCTATATCCGACGGTTTCATCCAAATATCCGACGGTTTCATTATTTGTTGCAATTAAAGCTTTTCTGACAATGATTGGTGTATTACATGATATTTCAATATAATCTTTCATTTTAAAAAAGTCTTTTTTTTTAATTTATTTTAGTGTTTTGTTGTGTCTTTAAATAATTTTTTCTTCTTTTTTATTAATATTTAAAAAAAGTTTATTAAAAAAAAAAAAAAACTCATCAAATAACACAGTGTATTAAAATTTTCTTTGAAAACAAGCTTACGGAATAAATGTTTTTTTTTTTTATATATTGAAGAATAATGTTTGCGGAAAAGATTTTCTTTAGTGAATGCAAAATCCTGAATGACTTATTGACACGTTGAATGATAAATAACCTTCTAATAAAACTCGGATTTTTTTAACTTTGAAGCAGCGGTAAGCAAACTATCGTTATAAAAACGTTTTTTTAAATATAAGTTTATAAATTTCTTTTTTTTTAATTTCATAATTTTTTATTGCAGTAGAATAATGCTTTAAAGAATTAGGGAAACAAAGAAGTATTTTAACTTTTAAGAATTAATGTTAAACAAAGAAGTTTAACAAGTATCAACTGAGCGCCAGTAGAGTGTAATTGACCCTCTAAACAAATTAAGTAAAATTACTTTTAATCCATAACAAATTGTATAAAAACTATGCAAAAGACCCTTTGTAAAAAAAAATTATTAAGGGAAATACTATGGGATCCCAATATATTGGTATGGTGTGCAATTATCAGGGGCTTTATACACTTTAAAATAAATGGTAAAGAAGACATAGTTCTCATAGGGACTAATTCAGTTCTTAGTGGCGATATGAGCTTTGACGTCTGAAGCCAACTGAACTGATTTTGCACCGCTATCATTTTTCTGAAAATCGCTCGCTGATGACACTTATTATTCTTGTAAACTAATTCTATCCAACTTGGAACATTTTAGTTCACATTGGAGTCTTTGGAAAGCATTTGCATTCTTTAAGTCTTTTTTCACAAATAACAAACGTGGTTAGATCAGTACCGTAAACCTATTTCTCGCTTATATTTGATGTAGTATTGCTATATATGTAAACAGGAAATCTTTTCCTTAGCTTTTCTTAATTGTTTTTTTATTAAAAGGTTAGTTAAGATCGCAAAATAATTGCTTCTTTTTCTATCCATTATTGGAAATAATGCATTACAGGAAACAACTTTGTTTAGTTTTATTTCAGATGCAAAAAATACAAAAAACAATACTGAATATTAAATAAAAAAAAAATACTCTTAATATAAACAAACTTTAGTAAATGTCTATCACTTTTTAAGGTGGACGCCCAGTAACCACAAGACGTGATTAACACGTCTAAAATATGTATTAACTTTTTAGAGATGATTGAAAAATATTTGAATTAAAGTTATTCAAAAAAAAATCTAAACTTTTTTTATATCGGATTAGGGGGTACATTGAACATATGTTTTTTTACTATTCTTAAATAGATTTATACTTACCAATACGCTTTAATTTTAATACAATAGTCTCTTAGCGTTCAAAAATTATGACCTTTTAAACTTTGTAATCCCCTCAAATTGAGGGGTTACAAACAACCCAAATTTAAGAGCTATTTTTTTTTGCTCCAATCATCGCACATTTTTGCTAAGCGTCTTTATTGACATAATTACAAACATATAAATGTTTATAGTTAACTCCATGTTTAGAAGTTAGCTTCTAAAACATCAAAAAATGCTGCATCCGTCCCTAAAATTGCTTTAAAAACCAGTGGCTAAAATATAACACAGAATATTAGTCGATACTGGATAAGTTTATCTTCAAAAAAAATTGTAACGATTGGGACGTATAATTTTTTTTGTTGAAAAATTTATGTTCCAGAGGGTAAAACATTGACAACAAGTCACAAAAAAATTCAAAGTCTGCTTCCTACATCCATTACTGAAAATATCTATTTCCATGTATGTTCAAAATTTTAATCAAAAGGGAAGGTGCTTTTCTAAGCTATCGACATTTTTTCAAGACAGGAGTATAAAGTTGAGTCATAAGCAAAAAGAGTCACTTTAAAAAAATTTAGGGAAAATTGAAAAAAGTTGAGAAGAAACATTTGTAAGACTATTACAGGAATGTTAAATGGACCACAAGCCATAAAAAAGTTTAATTGAAATATGACTTTAGCAACGGAAGCTGGAGTGATTTTAATGACTAACAATTAGTTATCCTGTATAATTGGAATCAAAGGATGAGCATAGTCATAAGATTCAAGAGTTGTATTAAAAGAAAAATTCTTTGCAAATAGTTTTGTCTTATCCTAGGAAAAGGCAATAAGATCAGCTTTATGAATGATTGAAGGAATGTTAGAACTTTGTTGATGATGAAGATTTTTCAAAAATCTTTAGTTTCACTTCTGAGATACGAGATTTTGTGAACTAGAAATAATGGAGCATTAGCATCATCTTTTTAAATCAATTTTTTGAAATAAAAAAAAAGCGCTTGTTTTCGAGAAAGTTGTTCTTTTGAAAAGATGAAAAAGTTGCTTACAAGCAGATTAAGCAGCTGCACAAGAAAGTGAAAACCATGGATTAGAATAAGGGCTGGCTCGAAACTGATGAGAAGGAATAAATGCTTTTATACCTGCTTGGATCCAGGAAGTTACGTAGGAGGCTCATTTATCAGAGAGAAAAGACGTCAGCTCAAGCACTGAGACAAAAAAAAAATCACGAAAGAATTCCAGTGAGATTTAAAGTATTAGTAAGTTGTGCGATGGTTAAGTGAGTCTGAAGTTTTTAAAAAAAATTACAAGTTGAAAGATTCATAGAAACCATTACATGGTTGCAACCACCTAAAGAAGATATATATTATAAAAAAGGTATTTTCCCCCCTAGTCGTTATAAGCGTTTTATTTAAATCAAAACACATCTTGCAATGTAAGCAATTGACTCTTTTGTAATATTATAACTACTATAATACACTTCCTATTAACTCTCTTCAACAAATTTATAATGAACTCTCTTAAACAAATTTATAACGAACTCTTGTAAACAAAATTTTATAATAAACTCTCCTGGACAAATTTATAATGAGCTCTTCTAAACAAATTTAAGATGAATCTAAAAAAAATCGTTTTTTTTAAACAAATATTTTTTAGGAACTGAACAAATAAATGTTTGATTAATTGTAATAAAAAAACTGTAACTATAAAGTTAGAATTAACAAACTGAAGAAATTAAAAAAGTAAAAAGTAACAGGAACATTTCTATAAAAAGTTTTCTCTAGATACTTTTTAAGAAAAAGTTTATTTACTGTAAAAATAATAGAATGACTAAAACCAGATTCATAACTGAATTATTATTACTTTATTAGACTACCAAAAGATATTTTTTATTTATAATAGATACCAAAAGATATATTTTATGTAAAAGATTATTCTTTTACATTTTAATTTAAATTAAAAAACCAATTTAAAAAAACTATTTTTTTATTGCTTTATAAATCATTTGGAAATACAATAAAATCTTGGAGAAATAACAGAGAGGATGTAAAAAACTAATATTATTTCAAAAGGGGCGCATTTGAAGGCGGCGATGGCCCCTTTCTGTAGTTTGAAAAGATTTTTTTGTGTGTGATTATTACTTGGCGTTTGCAGCCCTTTATAAAAAAAGTATTCAATGTCAATAAAAATAATAAAATTTTAATGTAGGAAAAATATTGTAAATTAAATTTTGAAGTAATTTAAAATTATTGAAATACAACTGTTTGACGACGACAAAAAGTTTAATTTGTTAATTTGTTTGACTAAAAACGTCTTCATTTAATGTTTCAACTTTTCGTCTATCCCTAACGATCAGTTTGTTTATATTACTCTGAATATATTTGTAGTTACATTGATAACAGTTTAAAACAGATATTCTAGCAAAAAATAACTAAAAAAGTTTTATGACTTGTGTAGTTGCTGAAAAAAATATAAAACTCAAAAATTATCAAAAGTGTTTGATAAAATCAACCGCAAGAATCTTTTCTGTAAAGTTGGCAACCAGAGAATGGTATACTGTAAATTAAAATGACATTAATGTATTTGATTTCCATGACATATAATATGATCGCTATTAGAATCATTAAAATGAGGTGTTCCCCAGAGATCGATTTTAGGACTTTGGTTGTTCTTAATTTATGTAAATGACATTTATTTTTCTTCAAAATTATTATTATTATTTTTTTTTTGCTGATGACACTACTTTTTTCCGTTCAAAGTTTATTTAATAGCTTTTAGTTAATGCTTCTAATAGATAACGTTAATGATAACAATAATGCTTCAAATAGATAAAGTTAATGATAACGATAATGCCTCTAATAGATAACGTTATTTCAAGCTCTAAAGTGGTGGTTTTAGTAAAGGTTTTAAGTAAACAATTAAAGTAGAATACGTTGCATAAAAGTTATGATAAGTACTGTTTTGGTGGTACTTTTTAAAATTAGTTATAACAGCAGAAATATATAACAAACCAGAAAAAAAATATGATAAACCAAGCACAGCTTAATATAAATAAAAACTTAAAAATAAAATAAAATCGAAATTATCTAAATAGAAATCAAGAAACACTTTATTATACTTCAATTTCTTTTAGAAATTGGTATTAAAACGTTAAATGTAAAACCTGTTTTCAAAGAGCAAAATTTATTAACTACACTAAAAATAAAATATCACATCGGATCATGTAAATTTATTTTCTTCCACCACTTTAGAACTTTGGTGTTTTCCTGGGCTATGTTGGCATCCAAATAATAAACAACCTTAAAGCCAATTTATGTTGCATTACGAGAATTACGAGCTAAAAAAATCACTTTTTTTTTAGCAAATTATGGTGACTAAGTCTGTGTCTGTGTTGCTGCTATAGACTTATTACAGAGCATCGGATGATTATTTGAAATCAGATGATTATTTGAAAGGAAGTCCACGCCTCCTTCCTTACCGATCTCATAAGACTTGCCAAGAGGTAGCGTTGAACCACAGATCTCTAGCTTCTGAGGCAAGCGCGCTAACCACTGCACTACGGCTGCTTAGATATTTTTTCCATTTTTTCGAATTAACAAAGCTTATTTTATTTTATGAAATATTTTACACTCTATCATTTGCAGATCTTTGTAGTGTGGTTTCAGGAAAAGTCCCAAACATTCAATTAGCACCACAGCACCATTAAGTGGACTTTTTACAGTTCTCTTTTTGTTCTCGTATCTGGTAAAATTGTTTTGCTTTAATTTTTAGAGTTAAATCAACAGAGTTTTATTTGAAGTATAAAACAAGTCAAAGTTTACGGCATGTATTTCAAAATAAAAGTAGAAATAAAAAGCCTTGGTATTTATTTTTTTCATTTCATTTTTTATTGTTATTTAGGTGACCTAACGGATTTGTCACAGAGTACTTCGGAAATGCGTTTAACCAGGAAGTTCACGCCTCCTTCCTTACCGTGACGCGAAAATATATCCAGTGCTCGTTTCGAACCTGGATCTCCTGCTTCTAAAGCAAGCGCTCTTTCACTGCGCCACGGCCGCTTTAATTTAGCATAGTAAGCATTAAAAATACATCCTAGCTGGATTTATTCATTTTTTTTTTTTTACAACTTTAATAAATATACACATCGTTACGTTACAATAACATGATATAATATAATGCTACGTAAAAAAATATAACATAATAATACCACGTATAACTTAAATTAATAGTATAACTTAAATTAATAGTGTTTCTTATCATCAAAGCTACCAGTATTTTTTAAAAATAAAAAAAGAAAAAAAAGAAAAAACTGTTCCTATTCATATATGCAGCAGATATACTCAGCAAATTTCAATTATCGTCATAGTGACCACTTTATTTTTATACACACAGGCTATATATATATATATATATATAAAGAAAGTTTGAATTTGAATTAATTTTCATTTTTTAATATAACGAATAATTTTTTCGAAATAAGTAGATATCTTTATTGATAAGTGGAACGTCAGATAATGGAAAAGAATGTTAGATTAACAGTTAAAAAAATAATTCTAAACAAAAAAATGCTTGTGGAATTGTATTTGAAGCAACAAGAACCGTGTCTTCTGAGCCACTTCTACGTAAAGTTAATGCATTAAATGTGTTAAATCAACATTTTCCTATTCATACAGTTCATGTATAAAATAAAGACTAGATGTATAAAATAAAAATTGACTATCTCCAAACTATTTTTATCTTTATTTTAGAGAAGTAAGCCATAAATACCCCACCATGTTTTCAGAAAATAATGTTGTTACTCAAAAATATAATCTAATTTATGTCCTTGTTCTATTCTGTTTTGTAAAAAAAAAAATTTAGCATATTGTTAATAATAAAGAAAAAACATTTCCGCAATTCAAATCTAAATTAAGACGTTATTTAGTACTTACGGAGCTTAATATAATAGATTTTGTCTCTTTTAAAAGTTGTTAAATTAAATTAGCACTAGAAATTAAAAGATCTAGGTCATTTTAGAAAAACAATAAAATCAATTAATGTTAAGAATTTCAATGTCTATAGGGATCGTCCAAAAATTACGCAACGAGGAAGGAATTTAAAATGTGGGAGGCTTTAAAATGAGGCCATTTGTTCTTTTGCGCAGCGGTTTTCATTCAACTTAAAGGACTTAAAGCATTTTAAGTAAACATAAAGTTCTTTAAGCCCTTTAAGTTGAAAAAGTTTAAGCACTCCTATTTCTATTTTATAAATTCCTATCGAGTTGCGTAATTTATGGACGATCCCATATCAGACTTTCTTTGAAAATATTTTCTCTTACCTACAAAATTATTATTGTTTTATAGTCATTTAATTTAAATATGCAGACTCTTTTTGTAATTATCTTATATTTACTTTAATAAATTTTATGATATTTCAATATAAATTTTATTTATATTAATTTTGATTTACGTTCTTTTTATAACCCAAAACGGTAAATTTTTGTACTTTTATTACTGTTTTAATTTTTTTTAAGTTATCTTTTTTTGTTTCTTATTAAAACTCTTTTTCTTTTAAATGCTATTGCTTATATGATACGGATATTTAAAAGCGTTACTATTACTAATACCAGCAGCCGTGGCGTAGTGGTTAGAGTTCTGGCTCAGAACCAAGAGGTTCGTATTTCGACGCCGGCTCTAACCCAATAAACAACTATGGGAAAGAAGGAGGCGTGAAATTCCTGATTAAATTCTACGGTGCTCTGCGATAAGACCGATAGGTCTTTTGAAGCACCTTGATAATTAAAAAAAAAGAAAACTATTGGGGCTTGGTGATAAGGCTATATAAAAATGATAAGAATGCGGAATACTACTCAATGAGTAGTATTCCTCATTCATTTGTGAATTTTTAAAAAACCAGGTTAACAATACTTCTGATCAATGAGTAGTACTCATTGAACAGAAGTATTGTGAATCTGGTCATAGTTCATTGCAGAATACTGACCTCCTGGGTAAAGTGTGGTTGTAAAAAAAAAACATTTTGAAATTTACAGCCTTTTTACCTTTTCCAAATTACTGTTACCTATCATAATAACTTCTAAAGTAGAAATAAAATTATTCAAATGTTCAAAAAAGGTTTCGAAAACATCAAGCAGCCGCGGCGCAGTGGTTAGAGTTCTGGCTCAGAACCAAGAGAACCGAGGTTCGACGCCAGCTCTAGCTCAACAAGCGACATTGGTACGGAAGGAGGCGTGAACTTCCTGTTAAACGCTCTACCGCGGTGCTCTGTGATAAGACCGTAAGGACTTCTGGGAGCACCTAAAATATCTACACAAAAAAAAAATAAAGAAAAATAAAATGCCCTAGAAATGGGTGGGTTATAAACATGATCACAACTTTTGAATATTAAAATATTGAATATAAAAACTTTGAAACCTGCTGATGAAGTTTTAGTATAGCAAATTTTTAGAATAGTAGTAGTTTCAAATTCAGTAAATATTTGCTCTCACATTTGAAGTTGGGGTATAAGTTTTAAATTTTTGCTTTTCTTAGGCTCAAATCACTGCAGTTATTCGTGAAACATACTCATTTGATGTAAGCATTTACATTTGTTTGAAGTTTGTTTTATATCTGAAAGTTTTTTTTTCTCAAACAATAATAAAGCTACCACAATCCCCGTGATATTAATGATAAAAAACTTATAATAATAAAAGTAATAAATAAAAATAATAGTAAACTAACACTAATAATTAAAAAATAAAAAGATAATTATATTATAAAAATGAACCAATATTAGGTGGAAATTTTTAGAATCGTAATTTTTTTTCTTTGACAAATGTAAAGCAAAATTTTACGCAGATTACATTATTATATGTAGCTGAATAGCTCAGTTGGTTAGAGTGTCTAAAGAAAAGTTAAGTAAAAGATACGAGTTCAAATCCTGCCAACGCCAACTGAACGCTTGAGTAGTACTTCGGTACGCAAAAATGTTGGTCAATAACGGACGCTACTTTGAATTAGTCAATGACTATTTGTAGCTGTTCCTGTGCTAACCCAACAATATCTTTGGATATGAGAACATTGTATAAAAAATATAGCATGAAAATTCAAAAAAATAAATAAATAATAAAATAAAAAAAGATATATATATTTAGTGCCGGGTTCCCTTGTCTAATCTCTTCTAATTTTTTTATCGATTAAATTTTAAATCTAATTTTTTTTATCGATTTTAACATAATATTTCTTCGTAAACTTTTTATCAATGTTATATAGTAATTTTTAATTATCAATATTAAAATTAGTATACAATAATCTTTATTACAATTAATTTTTTCTTAATTTTAAATTGACTATTGTGCCATATGTTTATTTTTTGCTATTTATACCTCATAACTATGTTGAATATAGATTGATATAAAATTTGCTTGAAATACTTCTGTTTAATCATTGTCAGAACAAACCATTGTTACATCTCTGATAAGTTATGAAACTTTATGTTTTTGCGGCCATAAAGCAAATTTAACAACTAGGAAGACTTCAATAAAAAAAATGAGTCCTATGAAAAAAAAATGCAAAAGTTCACTACATATTTTGCAAATTATAAACCAAAAAGAATACCACAACGAATTATATGGATAACCTTGATGACTTCTCTAGAAAAAAGGTAGTTCAGTGGTTTATTTAGGCAGCACGTAAAAATATATGAAAAAATTCCAGCTGGTTGCTGACATTCTATCCGGTGAGTTAATGTTTTCCTGATGTGAATATGTTGCCATATGTGGTAATATGTACAGCAGGTAGTGGAACTTGCAAAAAAATGTACAGCAAGTAGTGGAACTTTCAAAAATATAAAGCGAGTAGTGGAACTTGCAATTTTTTTGTTAGACGGCTCTGGCCTACGTTCACGTCGTAACAAAACGTTGTGTGATGTATCTTGTTTTTGGGAAAAGATGTTTTTATATTAAAATCTATTATTTTAATAAATAGCATTTTAAATCTTTTTAAAATCTCATTTAAAATAGTATATATTTTTTTCGTTTAGGTTAAAAAGAAGGGGGAAGGACGGGAGGAGAGAAAAAACAACACGCCCCTCACCCCCACGCTCCTACACCCCTTGAAACACTAATTATGTTATAAACTAGCAAAATATAATTTTTGTTTTTAACACTAGATTTCTTTTTGATTATAAAGATATAAGTAATTATAAAAAAAGAGTTATTTTTGATAATAGGTTGTTTGAAACCATCACCTCTACATCCACCTTAAGGCAATGATGAAACTTCTATATTTTACTGTGGTCTGATAGTTAATTACAACAACATATAAAAATTAACATTTTCATTAAATAAAAACACTCTTTTATAAATATAGTTAGTTTTTATTACCTTTAATAATGGTGGTTTTGTGCCTCTTCTTGCCCCCTGGATGTGCCCGTAATCTAGAAACCTTTATAAATTTGTAGGTAACTCTTATATCTATCTTTTAATACCAAGATGTAAACTTTTGGACAAGAATTGATTAAGTTATAATAGTTTTAGTTAATAAAAACTTTATTTAGACCACAGTTTGTTCAAAAAACTCTAATATCAAAAAATTGGTACTTAAAACGTCATAAATTTTTGTGGGGTTGTTAGATTGTGGTAATTTTTTCATTTTTGAAATATTTAAATGAAGCTCATTTCAATGATATATAACAACCTAGAATTTGATTAATTCAAAAGTTTTATGTAACATACCTATATAGAACCATCTAAATTTTTTATATGTGAAAAACATTGGCCTAAAAATACAGAAACACATAAATTTCTTGGTGGCTATACTCGCTTACTATGTGCACCAATTAATTTTAATGTTCCTTTTTCTTGTCTACCAACACCAAAGTCAATGCTTCGCCAATCTAAGCCTGAGGATCAGCAACTTAATTTTTTTCTTTAAAAAGACAAAATAAATTCGTTTTCTGAATTCTATCCTGACAAAGAATTACACAAAAAGTATGAATATATTGTAATATTTCTGCAAAAAGATAATTTCATATGTATTTTTATATCAAAGGATTTTGAAGCTAAGCTTCATGACAACAATTTTTTCAATAAGTGTACATTGTGTTCTTTAGTAACTTTGTCTGCTTTTAAACATGGTATCAGCGGCCGCGGCGCAGTGGTTAGAGCGCTTGCTTTATATGCAGAAGATGTAGGTTCGAAACGAGCTCTGGACATATTTTCGTGTCACGGTAAAGGAGGCGCGAACTTCCCGGTTAAATGTACTTCCGCGGTTCTCTGTGGCTAGACCGTTAGGTCTTCTTGGGGCACCTTAATAACAAAAAAACAACAACAACAACAAAATCAGCGTTCCATTAAGTAATATATTTAATTTTTTTTTGTTGTTCTTTATTCTTTACAAATTCGTTGTATAATAGAATCGTTTACAGAGTAAAATTAAAAAACAAAAACACAAAGTTACGTAATACAAAAAATAAATAAAATAAAACTTTAAAGTATTAGAAATTACTTTAAAGAACGCGGGAAACTTGCAGAAGACCGATGGTCATCGCAGAAGACCAATGGTCTTGTTATCAAGAAATCGCTATGCGTTACTAATATTTTTGGATACTTCAATTTAAAATAAGTTGTTGTTGGTGTTTTTGAGTTATTTAGAGTTATTAGAGTTAACAATGGTTTCGGAAGAAAGTTAGTTTTATACATAGTTTTATAATGTTTTATAATGTCTTTGGGTTCATAAAAATTCATAAAGTTGTTAGTGTTTAAAATAAAATTTTTTAATAATTTTTTTAGAGTATTTAAGTTATTCGATTGTTCCAGTTGAGAATTTTTGGATATTAATTTGTTATAGGACCACGGTGTGAACTAGAAAAGCGCGAGAGATTAGTTTTTTCTAATCTCTCGCGCTTCCAAATAACAAAAATAGATACCATACCAGAGTTCCTCTGGTATGGTATCTATTTTTGCTATTTGGAAGAAATTCTTTGAAAAGTGAGAAGGAACAAGTTCCAAGTTTATATTTGAGCATGAACAGTAGGTTTTGTAATGCTTTCAAATTTTTTAAAAGTGGCTCAGCATGCGAGAGTCTATCCTTATTAAAAACTATTCTTGCAGCATGTTTTTGTTTTTGATATAGTGTGGTTAGTTTGGATTTATGAGTACTCGCCCATGCAACATTAGCGTATATTTAGTAGCTTTGTATGAACGAAAAGTATAGGAACTTTAAATTATCAGGAGACAGTATAGAACTAGCTTTGTAAAGGATACCATTGTTTTTTGATATTTTGGTATTTTTGATATTTTGGTAAATGAAGTACATTAGAATAGAGGATGATCCCAACAATGGCTTAGTTTTCTACTCACAGTTTTTTGAAGTTTTTTGAAGCATTTAATTTATAATTGTAATCTGTATGTTAATGATATTATTGAAAAGGTGACAATATTCTTTCAGGATATAAATTTGAAATCAATAATGCTGTCAAGCAAAAGAAACCTATTTTTATTACAAGACAATTTAAACTATTGTGTACAAAATGTTTCTTTATTGATGATTATTGCTTTGCAATTGAATATTTTTATAAATCCAACTTCAACTTCGTGATTTTTTAGTGCTTCCAAGTAAACGAAAGCTGTAGTCTGTAATTTCTGCCGCAAGCATCAATCTTGTATTACAAAAAGTATCGATCGGTCTTGTGTTACATCGATCTTGTATTACAAAAATTTAAAAAAGTAATAAGAAAAATGCTTTTTTGATAGTTGATGAGGTAAAAAACAGACCAACCATTGCTAATTTAGGCTGAGTTTTATATGGGATGACAAAAAATGATTCAGAGTCTAAAGCAACTTCTATGCTATACGTTATGATGAAATGCTTACATGGTGGACCTAGTTAAATGGTTTCTGTTACACCTGTTTACAAACTAACATCAATGTATCAGTTCAGTTTTGTAAAAGAAGCTGCTGTTATAGTTGAAAAAAGTAATGCCATTATTTTAGGATCTGCAACAGATAACCATAAAATCAATCAGTAATACTGCACAATTTTCAAGATTAAGATATATATAAAATTAAGTAGTACCTGCTTTAAAACTGAAGCTCATGAAACATTCTTTTTTATTCAGCAGGTTTTAGATTAGTGGAATATTGTTAATGTTTCTGCAAAAGGGCAGAATATTAGATTAAGAGACCACAACCGATATGCTCCAACTAGTTTTAAAGATGCGACTTCAATTGAAACTTGCATTTACAATGTAAGTCTTTCAGAAACTGAAGAGAGCTCTACTGCCTATGTGGAAGGGTGGCTGGAGAAAAAATGTAAAGGTGAACTCATTTATGCTGAGGATAAACCTATACTAACAAACGAAGCTAAAGACTACATTGAAAAGGTTTCAAGAGGATATTTTACAGTTCTTCATGAGTGTACTTATTAGCTAGTTGGAATTGGATTACGCTATGTGAAAAAAAAACACAGAGCATCTTTTAGAAAAAAACTTAAACATACTGCCTATAATTGATAAATATCATGAATTTTTTTGCATGAAATTCAGAATTTGAAAAAAGATTAAGCAAAAAATGCATGTCTTTATCAGACATCATTTAAAAATGCACGTCTTGCGGAGTAATATTTATTTATATGGGTTTTATTAACATGTTGTTAACTTACGTAGAGTTTTATATACTGTATAGCATCTTTAAAATATTAGAAATATTTTAAAGATGTCTTTGGTTATCGTTATTATAGAAAACAAAACATTTGTGGTTTTTGTAAGTAACTTTGAAGCCACTTTTTAGTTATATAGTTTATTACATAGTATTTAATTCTTTCATGGTCGATAGTATTAAGTGCTTTCAAAAAAGTAGATAAAAATACTAATGTATATTGGGATTTTTGAAATGAATCTTCTCAGTGGGCACGGTGCGTTTTACAAATGTTCTTCGGACGTTTTTACTAGGTTTACACCAAATAAACACGTCTAAATAATTTTTAAATAACGCAGCGTGCCCACTGGGTTGAGATTTCTGGTACAAATTGGATAATTGCATATTCAATGGAGTATTTTTAAAAACTAAATTAATCATTACTTAAAAGCATATTGAAAACAAGATAACTGTATACTCTATTGTACATAATACGCTCTTTGAAAAAATAGGAAGGATAGTTACTGACATAGCTTTTGATTCATGAATACATTTGTTATCAACTATAACCATCTGGGGGAAGGAACCTGAGCATACTTTTGATTGCTAGTTATTTCTTTAATCATTATACCATGCACGCTTACTTTTTAAATGTATCTAATACTCTAGAGTTATATATATATATATATATATATATATATATATATATATATATATATATATATATATATATATATATATATATATATATATATATATATATATATATATATATATATATATATATATATATATATATGTATATATTTAAAGCGTTTTCGCATTTTTTCAAACAATCATTTTTAATCTTTGTACGTTTTCTCATTTTCGGATGATTTCGTTTTAAGATATTTTATGTTCAACTTCTATTTTATCTTTGATGACTTTTTGAAACCCTTGGTAACCCAAGAGTTGTTTATATCTATTTAAATCTGTTTTTTCAATAATAGGAAAGTTAGCATCAGTACGGCGTAAAATGTTTTTAAGGAAGGTCCCATAAATGATTTCTGCATCCCCAAGTCCTTACCGCGGATGAACATTTAATTGGAAGTTCACGCCTCCTTCCAAAGTGATGTCGCAAAACTTTTCCAGAGGTAGGGTTTGAACCGCAGAGACTCTGTTTCTGAAGCAAGTGCGCTACCACTGGGCTACGGCTGCTCGGCTATTTAAACGTCATTTTTAAAGATATCAGTTGCTATGATATTGTCAATTATAGACGTTTTTGATCTGACAAATCTATAATGTACTTAGAAAAATATTTTGCATATCAATATACTTTTTTGTCCTAAAAAATATTTTCAATAATTTGTAAACAGTTCAAACCACTGCTATGATAACGTTTTTCAAAAACATTGCGGTGATTGGAATCTAAGAACAAAAACAAGTAGTGATGCAATATAAATTTTCGGGTGTTGCAAGTTTTACACTTTCAGGTATTCGTCCATAAATTACGTCACGCTTTAGGTGGGGGGGGGGGGAGGGGTTAGTA